GGAAGTCTCCCCGTAGTCAAAGGCCACGGAGCCGGCTTGGAGATATCACCGATAGGAGAGGGGTTTCCCCCAGGGCAGTCCGTCTGGCAGGACAACGGCCTCTTCATAAGAGTCCCATCTGGGGTGCCAAAATTCTTGTGGAAAACGAAAGAACTCTTACGAATTCCGGAGGGGTTAGCAGAGAAGTTTAATTGCGCAAAGTCCAGAGCATATTAGAGATAGGCAATTCTGAACGAGGAGGGCGTGATTAGACTTCAGTTTTTATACTCCCCTCCTTAAAGAACAAAGGACTACACATTGAAATACACACTGTGATACATTAGGAACGTTTCTCACAGGCATAGAATGGAAGGTTTTGCTACATACAAAGTATCCATGTGCAGAGCGCATTAGGTTGCCACATATTACTGACAGAGAATTTTCCCAGTGAATTTTCCCAGTGATTATGCATTACATCATTGTTCTAGCAATTATGCAGACACATCATTATTGCAGTTATGCAGACAAATCATTATTCTAATAATTGTTCAATTTACTATATTATTATATTATTATAATGGCTACTGTGTAATCCCAAATGCAAAATTGGAAGAGAAGTGGATTTTGCTGGGCAACGACTTCAAGTTCCTAAGCCAAGTATTTAGTATAAATGTGACCTTGACAATATGAACTGCTCATGCTATTAAAACAAATATTGTAAACCACTGATTTATCTTGTCGCCAGGTCTTAAATCTGTTATAGTCCTATGAATTACAAAATCTTCAAGGAAAATGCGCAATTTCAGTCCAATGAGCCATAAATGTCTCTCAGACATCTGAAACTATTTCCTCAAAATCTGTCCCTAACTTGGCCCGAGTGGGGAAGTGGCAGACGTTTAATTCCCTCAAGCAGAACGCGCGCGCGTGTGTGCGTGCGCGCAGCCTGATTTTTTTTTTTTAAAAAAAAGGACGAAAGCTAAATTTTTAAACTGTTTATAAATAGTCTTTCCTTATGCTCCGCAGCACTGCACCATAAAATTTCCAGCAGGCTGTTGGAACCGATCCGGCATCAATAAAAGGATCCAGAAAAGAGTTTTCCTTTTTCCTTTTCTATCTCCAGAGCTTTGCTTCAGGAGCCTAGCGAAAAAACGGCAGGAGGGAGGACCCGCCGGGCTGAAGAAAATAACCGAGTGACCACACACAGCTCCGCGGGTGGGTACCAAAGGTGTGGGAAGAAAATCGGACCGAGCAACCTTTCTCGGATCTGCCTTACCTCTGCAAAGGGCCGCCAGCAGCAGAAGCGCTAAGGAGAGGCTAAGGGCGAGTCTCCCCATGGTGGGTCGAGGGCCTTTGAACAGCTGCCCCTCTCAAAATCTTGAGGTAAACTTTGCAACGCCTCTCTGGTGAGCGCCAAGAAAGCGCCTTCCTCTTTTCGTTCTCCGCTTTGTTTTTCCTTGCCCTCTTAGGAGCTCCGTTTATTTGCATAAGAACCGCAAAGCTACAACCCAAAGTTGGGGACTGAGCGAAAACAAGAGTGAACTGCGCTACCCCTAAGCTGTGGGGCTGCCTTCCAGGAACCGACCAACCAATCCCTGGAAGCAGCTAGATATCGACCTCCAATGAAAAGGGCGAACGGAATGTCTGTTAACCTCCCCCTCCCCAAGATGTCTAGCGACGGAAGACAGAAACATTGAGTCATGTCCCCATAATAGAAAACCCGCTGGCGAGAGCTCCACGGGGTGTGGCGCATTTGGGATTTTTTAGGCTGGAGGGAAAGGGTGCTTGTAGAGTTATTGCCGAGAGATTATTGTAAGTGCTTCAGAGGTAGAGTTTGCTCCCGGGGCGAGAATTTGGAGCTATGGCAAGGGAAAAAAATGAGTCTTAAAAAATATTGTACTCTTTTGTGGTTCGTCTTTTGATAGAGGTGCCTGCGCATCGGTGACTATAGTTTTAATGACCCCCAAGGGGTTATTGGAACTGAAGATCATGTCCTGCTGTATTGTATCATCTATCGGGAATCGAGGATCCTCCTTCTAATTCCTTAGCCTGGTAAAACACTCGGAAAATTCTGATTTTTAATGTGTTTCTTTTTGCAGTTGTGGTTAGTGTCCAAATAGAAACATTTAATGGCTGGTGACTTCTTTCAGACACTGTTAAAATTTCAACTTTTGTCAGCTACTCACTCTCGATCCAACTAATTTAAGAAGATTGTTGTGAGTTGATTTGGAAGAGACATAATATGCTTCAAAAATTCATATGTGGGTATAAAACATTCACTCCTTATGTATATGGCTTTCTGACCATTAAATGGTCAGAAGTGTTTTGAATTGGTATGACAGCTTTCATACTTTTCAACTGCTTCACCTAAACAATTCATTGGTTGTTGCAGAATCAAATTAGGAATTTCTGCAAAGAAACAATTCTCTATTAAGTCTCATTCCTCTTCTGTAATATATTATGGTGTGTTGGGAAATTCTATAGAGTTGTGTAACAGGTTTTTCCAAAAGGATACTCAAAGTGAAAAAAGCTGTTCCATTAGCAAAATTCAGTATTCCTGCAATGTGAGAAATTTTGGGATTTGACAGGAGGTAAAGACTGAGGTTAAACAACATGCTTATCCTCAATTAATTGAATTGAGAATTATTCAGTCCAAATTTCTGTTTTCTAATACAGGTAATCTTCAATTTATGACCATTAGTTTAATAATCATTTGAAGTTACAATAATGCTGAAAAAAGTTATGACCAGATCTCCCACTTGCAACCATCACAATATCCCTGTAATCACATGATCAAAATTCAAGTGCTTGTATTTCTGATGGTTGCAACATCCCAGGGTCATGTGATCACTGTTCCCCATCAGCTTCCAGCAAGTAAAGTTAGTGGGGGAAGCTGGATTTCCTTAATAACCGCAACAAAAATGGTTGTAAAATCGGGCTCAACTTATTTAACGACTGCATTGCTTAGTGATGGAAGTTCCCATTCCAATTGTAGTTGTAAGTCGAGGACTACCCATAACATATTAAGTCATATATTAAGCTCATAGGCTGCATTCCTATAATGTGCCAAGCTTAAAAAAAAGCTTGACTTTCAATTTTGTCATGCAAACAGATAAATTGCAGTAACTTATATATCAAATATTGTTGTCAGAATCCAATTATATTTCATTTCTATCTACCTACTCTGATATAAAACCAATTCTTACTCTCTTCTGGATTCTGTCATACTACGGAAGGGGAGGAGGGTAAGCATGGGGGTTTTATGACTCTCACTTCCTTCATTAACTACAAAGTGACCGGGTATTTATTCTCTTCGAGAGGACTAACCATAACAATGCAGCCATCGTCTTTCATTCTACTCCCTCTGAAGTTCTCCCCTTTGCCGGCAGTGAGGGAAAGGGGGGGGGGGAAATGCAATGCCTGGAATCTGGAAAAAGAGAAAATGAATGATCGTGCTGACGGAGCGGACTGACGGATTGAATCGCCCAGAAGAACTGTGGGGTGGGGGCTGCTCGGGAACACTTTAAAACTTTGAATGGTGGGAGAGGATTCCTCAGATCCTGTCTAGCATGCCTGCAATCAGTTTCTATTAATAAAGATTCCTGTTGGAAGACACATTCCAAGAATTCTGTCTTTTTAAGATGTAAAATTGAGGTGGGTCCTTACATTAGACAGGATCTGCAAAATTAGTCCACCTGCAAGGGAGAACCTTGCCGGGGGACTTTGCAAAAAATACCATGTCAGACGACGGAGCAGGGAAGGGAGAAAGCCCCCCGGAGAGGGAGCCACTGCCCTAACTGAAAACCTGCCAGATGTCGGGATCTGAGAGGTCAGATTCCTCAGAAGAGGTGGTGGAGACACGGGACCACAAACCTCGGTGGTCAATGGGCATTGGAAAGAAAGGCGAGTGGGAAATGAAATCAAGAAAGGTGACCCTGAGACAGGGGGCCAACCAACCAGAATGGAAGCAGGAGATGGGGAAATCCCTGTACGCAAGCGAAGAGGAAAGAAGCTGGGCACTGCACTCGAGCTGGATCCTAGAGAAAGCTATCAACTTGATGAAGAGAACCCTCAGCTCCCTAGGAGAGGAGAATTCTGAGCCCCACAGCCGCATCAGCTCCTGGAGCCACAACGGGAGAGACACTGAGGGGGAATTGGACCCTGCAGCCCCGGGGACGTCCATTCCCCCCCCGACCCGCAGATGGTGATCTGGATGGAAGACAATACCACCAACAACAAAGGCACCGATCTATTCAAAGACTCCCGCCGCTGGATGCGAGATTCAAGGGGGAGCCGGCACGCTTGGGGTTTTTCATAACACAAGTCCTCAGCTACATGGAGGAATACGGGCGGCACATCCCTAGCAACAAAGCCCGTATCTGGATCGTGCAATCTGCTTTGGACAGGCTGGCCGCAGATTAGGTGGTGAATTTGCACGACTCCAATGCCCCAGAGCTCAACGACTTCAACCGTTTCATGTCCTCTCTGAGAAGGCGATTTGAGGACCCCCTGGCTGATTGCAAAGCCTGCGAAAGGATCAAAACCATGAGGCAAGGCAAACGCCCGGTAGCCAAATATACGCAAGAATTCCGGGTCATTGCCAGCAAACTGAACTGGCCAGAAGACATCCTCCTTAGCCATTTCAAAGATGGCCTAAACTATGACCTATATGAAGCTTGCCTGCCCCGAGGGGACCCACACCAACTCGAATGGTACGTCCTGGCAGAGGAAGCAGAGATCGACCTACTGAAGAGGCACCGCCGAGGAAAACAATGGAGCCGCTCACCGCCTGAGTCGACGCACGAACCAGTGAAACCATCGGCTATGGCCAAGAAGCAAATGGATTGTTTCAAATGCGGGAGAGAGGGGCATCGGGCTGTAGAATGCCACTCGAAAGTCCCCCCGCACAACGCAGACAGATCACCGGCCAGCAAATCCGGGAAGTCTCCAGCTAAGCCAAAAGAATCTGCCATGATGGAGGCTGTGGAATCCCCTACCTCTGCCCATCGTGGGGAAAGAACTCCAGCCTACACCGCAGGGCCGGTGGACACCTCAGACGACAGCTTGGAGGGCGAACCCCTGGTAAGTGGACCCATCGCACCCATCCTCAAGACAGTGACTATATTAATTCCCCCCATGCCCGAAGCTGTCAAGGTGAAAGCCTTAATAGACTCTGGCTGCACCCGCTGCCTCATTAGCCCGATGCTAGTGGGGAATCTGGGCATTTCGTCGAGGCTAGAACAACCAATCTCATTTGGCCAGTTAGATGGGTCCATAGCAGGGGGGGTGCCAGCTACCCTAGCCATTTTACCAATCCACCTCTCCCATGAGGAAGCCATAACATTTGTAGTGACCCCAGGCATGGAATGCCCGATGATTCTAGGGATGGAATGGTTAAAGAAATGGAACCCTGATAAATTGGAGGATGGCAAAAATCAATTTCCCAAAAGGGGACCCTATGGACTTAAAACCCCAAGGGGATCTACCAAAATTAAGAACGGAAAAAGCATCCATGGGAGAAGAAAAGGGTCTACCAGAAATACCAGAGGAATACAGAGATCTTGCTGAAGTTTTCAGTGAGGAGAGGATGGATGAGCTTCCCCCCCTCACCGACCCACGGACTGTGCCGTAGAATTCAAGCCCGGAGCAAAACTCCCAAAGCCCAGGTTATACTCCATGAGCCCAAAGGAGAAGGAGGAAATGGAAAGGTTCATAAAGAAAAACCTAGAAAGGGGGATCATTGAACCAGCCAAGCCTAAAGTGGCCGCTCCAGTCCTCTTTAGCGAGAAGAAGGACGGCTCTTTACGCATATGCGTGGATTATAGGCTCCTAAATACAATCAGTGAAAGCAACCTATACCCCCTACCCCTCATGAAGGACATGTTATCACACTTCTCGAAAGGAATTTTTTTTACTAAACTAGATCTAAGGGAAGCATGAGAATTAAGGAAGGGGATGAATGGAAAACTGCATTTAACTGCCCAATGGGGTACAACCAATTCAAAGTCTTGCCATTTGGATTACAAGGGGGATCCGCAGTATTTATGCAATTAATCAACGAGGTACTAAGGGAGCACCTATTTAAGGGGGTTCTGATTTACTTAGACAACATCCTTATCTTCACCAAATCAAAAGAGGAACATGTCAACCTAGTCAGAGCAGTTTTAAAGAAACTGCAAGCCACCCACCTATATGCCAAACTATCGAAATGCGAATTCCACCAGGAAAGAATAGACTACCTAGGTTATCGTATATCCCCACAGGGCATTGAAATGGACCCAGAGAAGGTCAGAGCAGTATTAGAATGGGCACCACCTCATACAAGAAAGCAACTGCAAAGTTTCCTGGGTTTCGCAAACTTTTACTGCCAATTTATTCCCTCATTTGCCCAGATAGCCCTGCCCCTCATGAACTTACTAAAAATGAAGGGAGCATCCTCAATAAAACCTAGCCAGCCACTAAAATGGACAATGGAGTGCCAAGCGGCATTTGAGAGATTAAAGAGACTCTTTTCTGCCGAACCAGTACTGAAGCACCCAGACATGGATAAGCCCTTCGTAATACAGGCGGA